ATCGTATACCACTTACATCAGCAATCTTCAATTAAGTTCACAAAGCATCGGTCAATCATAGTTCTCCACGAGACAGTTTGTCAGCTATTTATTCCTCCAGAAACTAACTACAATGGTGATATCAGTACACCTACACCATGGTTGTTTTAAGTATAAACCCTCTATTTGTTTTATGGGTTAAACTCAGTTTAGCCTCAAAACAGTAATCTACAACTTACCTTAATTTGTCAGATGTGCTGCCAGCAGCACCTTCACAGTTTAAGCTAGCATCTACTCTCTGAACTGATACAGAGTCTGAGGTAGGACTGCTTGAACCACTGGCTGTTCCTATGCAATAGAAATTTGAAAGTTAAGTAAACGTGTAGAATATAAATTAATAACTACTCAAGCATACTTATGTATAATATTAGTTTAGCTGTTCTCACCCAATTACTTGATATTTGATTAGATTGCTGTGTCTTTAAAACTGCATGCCAATGAAATACAACTAAAGCGATCATCTAAATATATGGATCAAGTGCTCAGCAGAGACTTAGGGTGGGGCACCAAGTATAGTGTGTTGTCCAGAATGTACAAATCAACATAATTTTGTTTTCAGCATAGCCATTGCAGATGTTCCTGCCTCCAACATTTGTCCTACAATTCCTGCCATCTTCTCAGACATTTCTCCAAATAAAGAAGTTTACCCATTGGACTGATTCTGCCACTATTCTGCTGTCGTTGAAGATGCTCTTTGTAGCAGACGGAGCACATTCCATTTGTCCTAGGATTCCCATAAAATCCACAACCAGTACTACACAGCATGGGCCCTGGGGTCTGGTTCGTCTCCTGAGCCATCTCTGTGCTGTAAATAAAACCAGATAACTGCATTAAAAGTTGGCATGTAACCAAAATCGATCATAGTTTGTAGGAGACAGTCATTAGTATATTTACATAACACAAATGTAGCCTTTGTTAAGAATGCTGATATTTGTAGAAAAAGTAAAGTTGCAGTAATGGAAAACATAGATATTGTTATACCTTTCTAAAATCCTAGTAGAAAAATTTCAATGATATCACGTAGGTTGGAAGAAGGGTACATGTAATTATGCACCCTTATGAACAGATTCACTTCACTCATCACTGAGCAGTAAAAAAACAAACAAACCTGTGTCACTGTCACTCATTTTGAGTATTTTCTATTCCCGAAGTCAGATCCGCTGAATAAACCACACCAAATCTGTGTACACTAATCAATTCTGGAAATCAATATAATCTATTTATCAACAGACTAGGCAGCAAATAAACTGCTTTCACTGCTTATAGGATATGTGGGTCCTGGATAATTTCAACTCAGAGTTAACAAATTGTATTTTGGCAATACACTCAATAAAGCAGAGTGGGGAAGTTTACTACAAGTACTAGCCAACGGTCAATTTCAATATGCACTTTTAACTATAGAAGTAATTTCCAAAACAGAGCAAGTCTTGTTTGTATGAAAGCTGACACTGTATGTTAACTGGCAGCAACATGTGTGCAGAATCTCCCACATACAGGGTCAGCAGGCATTCCTGAAACATCACGAATTTATTTTTCGGTGCTTTTAAAAGTTGCATTTGCAACAAACTTGAACAGAACTCTTGCAAGAAACGCATTGGCTGCTAAAATACACCCATTTACACAGCCTACTCATTTCCATAAGCTCAGCAAAGTACTCTGGCTCAAGAATTTATAGAAAGGTACCCATGTCTGGCATTGGATAATAAAAGTCCTCACCTCTGCATAACAAACAGCAAAAATTAACAATACAAATACCTCACCTTCACTAGTGATTTATCTCTGCAATGCAAGTTTAGTAGAAAATCTGATATAGCAAGGAACCCTTGGCTCCCAAGAGCACTATAATAACAGGGGCACAGTATAATTAAGTGATCTCCTATAAATCCAGGGCAAATTAAAATATTAGACTGGGCCACTAGAAAAATTGTGTTTTAAAACAATACACCTTTTGGGGCACAATGAACTTTTTAAAACTTGGAGAGCTAGATATTTTGACAAAACAGCCTCTCCATATTAGTGTCTCCCTCTCTAGTTACATCCAAAGTGAATTACAGATATTTGAAAAGACTCATTTAAGGTTCACAGCAACCCAATATACATATGTTGATACACAGGTGCTTGCTATGGACCAAAACATAGTTCTGTAAACTAAAGGTCTGCGTCTCCCAAGAGATAAGCCTTTCTTTAGGGATATTATAGTAGCTGAAACTACAGTGGAGTATCATATCACTGTGCAGCTCCAAGGGAGACTGAGGGCCCACTATAGTAAGTACTGTAAATACACAGAAAATCCCTGACCCAGAAAATTTACAAACTAGATAAGGCACACCAAGGGGCAAAAAGGAACAGTTACATGTACGCTTTTACAGATCTGGAATTGAAGCAAAGAAATTAGGTGACTTGCACAAGGTCACTCAGAAAGTTAGTGACATCTCTTGATCTAGATCTCTAGTTCATTACCTTGACAAGACCTGCCTTTTTGACACCTGTCATAGGCTTCTACCAAACTGTGGTTTTACAACCATTTTTCATTTATTTTAAGGACCCATGCAGATGGAACTGATCAGCTAAACAGCAGAAACAGTGGACTATACAAAGTACTGCCAGATGAACTAAAAATACAGAAAATATTTTCTTCTAATCTATAGTAACTTTAGGCCTTACAATTTAGATATTCCGAGGATATAAGTGCTAACAAATATATCAGAGGGATAAATACCACGGAGGGAGAAGAATTATTTAATCTCAGTACCAATGTGGTCACAAGAACAAATGGATATAAACTGGGCATCAGGAAGTTTAGACTTGAAATTAGACAAAGGTTTCAAACCATCAGAGAAGTGAAGTTCTGGAACAGCCTTCCAAGGGAAGCAGTGGGGGCAAAACACATATCTGGCTTCAAGACTAAGCTTGAAAAGTTTATGGAAGGGATGATATGATGGGATAGCCTAAATTTGGCAATTAATTCATCTTCAACTATTAGCTGTAGATATGCCCAATGGCCTGTGATGGGATGTTAGATGGGGTGGGATCTGAGTTACTACAAACAATTCTTTCCTGGGTGTCTGCCTGGTGACTCTTGCCCACATGTTCAGGGTTTAGCTGATCGCCATATTTGGGGTCGGGAAGGAATTTTCCTCCAGGGCAAATTGGAAGAGGCCCTGGGGTTTTTTTGCCTTCCTCTGCAGCGTGGGGCCTGGGTCACTTGTTGGAGGATTCTCTGCACCTTGAAGTCTTTAAACCATGATTTGAGGACTTCAATAGCTCAGACATAGGTTAGGGATTTGTTACAGGAGTGGGTGGGTGGGATTCCGTGGCCTGCATAGTGCAGGAGGTCAGAGTAGATTATCACAATGGTCCCTTCTGACCTTAAAGTTTATGATTCTAATTTTCATTAAGTGGTGTTCCTTTTAATAATTCTAAACATGTCAGCATCCATGAATGAGTCTCCAGTACTCCAACTTGCTCCTCTTAAAAATGAAGATATTGTAGACATGTTTTACCACTTGCTATTTAAATCTAGCTTTAGGTTTTAATTGTTGTTTTGAATATAATGTAAATACAAGCACTTTCATGGCTCCTGTCAGCACATTCTTTCCCTACTACAAATACATGCCCCTAATTAAAAAGGACAAATTGTTATTTTACAGTGACTGTTAAAGAAATTGCACCATTTCATTTTTCTTGTACCAGGTCCAAGTATCACCTGACTAACCATGTCCTTTAAAAGACTTCACCAGTATGAAGACAAATATACCTTCATCATCCCTTAATAAGTATTTATCAACCAGAAACTAAATTATGCTATTTGTACCTTTGGATTAATGTACTGGGAAGCTCAGATGACTATTTTCAGAATAACAGCCGTGTTAGTCTGTATTCGCAAAAAGAAAAGGAGTACTTGTGGCACCATACTTGTGGCAGTTCCCAACTAGGATGGGACCTCACAATTTAGCAGTCATCCACTTAATGTCACACATTCAGTTCTGTCTTTCCCTTAGAAAACCAGCTTATAATAAGCTATTACCAGCAGGACAGTGGGGTGGGAGGAGGTATTGTTTCATATTCTCTGTGTATATATAAAGTCTGCTGCAGTTTCCACGGTATGCATCCGATGAAGTGAGCTGTAGCTCACGAAAGCTCATGCTCAAATAAATTGGTTAGTCTCTAAGGTGCCACAAGTACTCCTTTTCTTTTTGCGAATACAGACTAACACGGCTGTTACTCTGAAACCAGCTTATAATAGTATCACGTGTGCCTGCTTTCCTTAATATTTCTCAGAAGCTTAGGTCACATGGGTGAATGCATTAGCTTCCGCCTGTCACAAGGCTGCAATGTGACAGGCTGAGCAAGAGGCTCAGACACACAACCTCGTCAACAGGGGCCTCTGAAATCAGCTTCTATTTATATCTCAAAAGGTTGCCAACTCCTACACAACCCACAGAACTGAAGCAGCAAAGCATACACCCACTGTAATGGAGAAATATAAAATCCAATTAACAGGATGATTACAGCTTCCTCTCTGAAGAGAGAGAGGGAGACATTCTTAAATTATACTTAGAAAATGCAGCATCATGGGCTAGTCATCTCAAACAGCCATTACCATTTTTAACATACAGCATAAAGACAAAACAGCTGAGTATGATCTGAGGCCCAAAAGAGGACTGCTGTTGCACTGCCTTTGCTCACACACACACACAGTACTCAGCATTTTTGGGTGGGTGGTTTCAACAGAAGCATTTGCCTGCATATCAGTTTGTTCCTTTTTAGGTGGAAGGAAGACACTGATTAAAAGGTTAAGGTTCTTGTTCGCCGGTTGTTTCCTTTTACAGGAGGAACTATGTTTTGCAACTTGCATTAGCTCAGCTAGCGATTCTATTACAGTAACCCGGATAGCTACTAGTTACACAAGTTAAACCAGGGCAGGAAAATACTTGATAACTATATGCTGAAGACTACATATGAGGTATTTTGTTGTGAATTACAGCTAAACTCAAGGCCACTTTAATAACATAACAAACAATGAATTTGGAGTGGGCTTCACAAAATACCATAAAACAGCAGCAGTGAACTTTAGTTCTCCACGCAAAAGTGCTTTTTTAACCAAACTGCAATATTCACACCAGATACATTCACATTTTTAAACGGGTTTAGTGAGGGGGAAAGGAGGAGAACAGAAAAAACAAAGCTATACCGAAATCAATACTAAACCCATGGATGGGAATTGCATCAATGATAGGGCAGAAAGGGACGGCTGACCTAAATCTCTATTTATCCTGACATCCTCCTCCAGAGGAGACCCCCAGAAGCGGAATTGACCCAGGGCATTTTGCGCTTTAGAAAGGGAGCTGAGGCGCTCCCTAGATACGCGGAGAATATGGATCGAAACGGACAAAGACAAAACTGAGCCAGGCCAGAAAAACAAAGGCAAGGGCAGGGCGCCCCCAGCCTCCCGCGGCAGGAGCCACCCGCCGGGGGTAGCGCTGTTCAAGCCCGAGCCGCGAGAGCGGCAACGTGCCTTGTTCCTCGCCCGGCCACCGGCAGCCCCAGGCCTGCTGGGCCCCTCTCAAAAGCCCTGAGTCACGCCGCCCAGCCGCTCGCTCGGTGCCGCCGGCCTCCTCAGCCCCTTCCGGCTCTTTGTTCTTCCCAGCAGCCGCGGCCCGCCGGCTAAGGGGATCCGCCGGCTAAGGGCCCCATTCGTTACCCCCCTCCCCGCGGCCGGGCCCTCTGCTCGGGGGCTGGGGGCCCTTCTCCCCGGACAGGCGGGGGAGCCTAGCCCGGGTTAAGGGGTCGGAGTGTTTCGCTCGCCCCATCCCCCCGCGCGCTGCTCGGCCCCTCCACACCCACGAAGGCCGGCCGCCCGGCCGAGACACAAAGGCCGCGGGGCGCCACTGACCTGCTCGAAGAGGCCGCTGGCGAGGGCCCCGGGCGAGTGGTCGGTTCTGCTGAGGCCAGACAAAGGCGCCGGCGGCGGCGGCGGCGGGGGGAGGGAGGGGTGGCTGTCCCGGCGCGAGCGGGGGCAAGTCCCGGCCCGGCAAGGAGCTCGCGCCGCCGCGGCTCCTCTCCTTTGTTTCTGCAGCAGCGCGGAGCGAGACGCGCCGCGCGGAGGAGGGGTGGGAGCGGGGGAGGCGGATCCTGCTACACAACGCGCGCCGGCTCGCGCTGCTACTGCTGCGCCGCGAGGCTCCGGGGCCGGACGGAAGCGCCGCCGCACGCGCAGAAACCGGCGCTGGTGTCGGTCGGTGCCGCCGCGCGCTGTTCCGGGAGGGAGGAGGCTGGACTCGAAGCGGCCGCTCAGAGCCAGCGATGACGCTGCGGCCGGCGCCCGCGCTCTCTGGAATCACACTGGCGCGCGGGTGGAGGTGGGGAGGAAGAGAAGGCGAGGCAGGAAGGGGCGGGGGTCTTCGTGACGTCACCGAAGCCGTGGAGAGAGGAGGGTGGGGGCCGTGTGCAGAGTGGCGAAGTAGTCATCTCACAGACATCGTCACGATGGAGGAGGGGCGGGATCAGGGGTGTGCGCGGGAAGGGGGGCGGCGGGGTGAGCACGGGGCAGTGCGGCCATGGGTACTGAGTTTGCAAAGTGCATGGGGCAGGGACAGCGATGGGGGGCAGGGTTTGCGCAGTAGGTAGGGCAGGGGTGGCCATGGGGCTGGCCTTACCCTGAGGTGAACTGAGGCGGCTGCCTCAGGTGCCAGACTGTGGGGGTGGTGCCATGAGGAGCTAGAGTGTAGAAAATTTTATCTGTTGCTGGTGCATGTGTATTCTCTCTGCTCTAGATGCACAGAGATGGTGGAGTGCTGTGCTGGAGGAAGGATGGCACAAGACACATAACAGGCAGGACAGAAGGTGAGAGGGAATAACAGAAAGCAGCAGGTGCTATAGAGAGAGAGGGGAAGAGGAGCCTCTTATGTACCTCTCAATCAGTCCAGGCTCCTGGTGGTGCTAAACACCAGCTTCTCAGGGAGCTTCCTGTTTCCTGCTGCTTCCCTGAACCCACTTGAGGAGAACAGGCAGTCAACTGAAGTAGTAGGAGCCAGTTAGGCCCTTCAGACGCTGATATCTCCTCTCACTGAGGCCCTGCTACCAACCTGCTTATTTTTCCCATTCAGTTGAGTGTTGAGAGCCACTATAGCTGGCCCAGAACAGCAGTCATGAGTGAAAGAAGAAAATGCCCCTTCTGGGGCAGCATTCAGAAAAAGAAAGGAAGCAACAGAAGCTTTTCTGTCTAAGCAGGAAGGAGCTCTTCTGAGATACATAGACACAAATGTTCAAGGTGAGCCTTCTGGCCCCAGTGAGGATGTGAGTGGTGAGGAGATGCCTGATCTTCCAGTTAGTCAGAGTGCAGGTGACCTGGCAGCTACTGCAACATCCATCTCGCCATCTCAAATGGATGTAACCATGCACATTCCTGAAGAAAAGTGTAGATCAGAGAAGAAAAGTGTAGATCAGAGAAGAGTTTGGTGGAGGCACAAGAAACAGCTGCTGCTGAGTTTAGTTCCTTAAGTCTAGATGATCCAGGACTGTGGACCCACTTGAGCAGTAGCCTGAGGGACTTCCTTGTACTGCATGGGCCACAGCAAGTGAAAAACTTCATGTTCCCCAAAGACAATGAAAATAGAAGTTTCCGTCCAACAGACTACAGGCATGAAATCCCCAATGGTGACAAAGTGGAGAAGCCATGGCTTATGTACTCAAAACCCCAGAATGCTGCATACTGTTTTTGTTGCAAATTCTTCCAGTCTAATGTTCCAGCCACATTGGGTTCTACAGGAACAAAGGACTGGAAAAATCTGGCTAGAAATCTGGCATGCCATGAGAAGGCAGCAAATCACCAGAGAGCATTCCATAGGTGGAAAGAGCTTGAGATGAGACTAAGGTTAAAGGCCACCATAGATGATCAGCATCAAGAGAAGATTGCATCAGAGTCCCTTTACTGGCAAAATGTTCTGAAAAAGCTCATTGCCATTGTGAGAATGCTTGCTACCCAAAACTTAGCACTGCGTGGCACTTCAGATCAGCTGTATGTGTCAAACAATGGAAACTTCCTGAAAACTGTGGAGCTGATGGCTGAGTTTGATGCTGTACACCCGGAGCATCTAAGAAGAGTCACCACCCAAGAAATGTACACACACCACTACCTTGGAAAAACCAATTCAAAATGAGTTCATACAGTTACTGGCAACAAAAGTCAAAGAGAAGATTGTGGCAGATCTGAAGTCAGCGAGATGTTACTCTGTTATTCTGCACTGCACACCTGACATCATACGGAACAAATGGCTTTAATGGTGCGTTTTGTAACAACAGCAGAACCTAGTGAAAAAGTCCCTGCAATGGTGACTGTCAGAGAGCATTTTCTAGAATTTATTGACATTGATGATACTACAGGAGCTGGTATGACAAATATGCTTCTTAAAAAGCTGGAAGATATGGGACTTGCAATAGCTGACATGAGAGGTCAGGGCTACGATAATGGTGCCAACATGAGAGGAAAGAACAGAGGAGTGCAGACACGGATCCGAGAGTTAAACGCTCAAGCTTTTTTTGTCCCATGCAGTTCTCATTCATTGAACTTGGTGGTCAGTGATGCAGCATCAGCTTCTAGTGAGGCTGCTGAATTTTTTAATGTAATTCAAAGCATCTATGTATTTTTCTCTGCATCAACTCATCAATGGCAAATTTTGAAGCAACATCTGGGAACATCCTCTCTGACACTGAAACCACTGAGTGCCACACGATGGGAAAGTCAAGTGGAGGCAATAAAGCCTGTCAGACACCAAATTGGGAAGATAGATGATGCCATAGTTGCCATTATGGAGAATAAAGCTATGACAGGAACTGTTTGTGGGAGAGCAGTGGCAGAGGGAAATGGAATCACCTGAAACATACATAACTTCAAATTTCTGTGTGGCTTAGTGTTGTGGCATAAATAAATTTGTTTGAAATAAATGTTGTAAGCAAGAGACTCCAACGTGTTGACCTTGATATATCTGGAGCAATGGAACAACTGGACAAAACAAGTCATACCTATAGTCTTACCAGTCAAATGAGGGATTTCAAAACGTTCTGAAGAGTGCACAGAAGTTGGCAGAGGAACTACACACTGAAGCTATTTTCCCACCCATTCAAGAATACAAAGAGTCACCGAAGAAGATGACATTTTGATTACGAGGCATGGGATAATCCCATAAGAGACCCCAAACAACAATTCAAAATCGAATTCTTTAACCAGGTGCTAGATTGTGCAGCACAGTCAGTTGAAGAACATTTCATGCAGCTCAAGGAACACAGCAGTATATTTGGGATGTTGTATGATATTCCCAAACTCCTCAGTATACCTGAAAAAGACCTACACCAGCAATGCAGGGCACTAGAGACAGTGTTGACACACGATGACATGTGCGGTACTGATGCGAGTAATTTAGGTGATGAACTGAAAGCCCTTTCAAGATACACTTCAGCAGGATCAACTCCAAAGGCTGTTCTGGAATGTATGTGCACAAATAAGATGACCACCCTCTTTCCAAATGCTTTTGTTGCTCTGCGCATACTTCTAACACTTCCTGTAACAGTTGCCAGTGGAGAACGCAGCTTCTCCAAGCTGAAGTTAAAAAAAAACACATCTACACTCCACAATGACACAGGAGAGGTTGGTTGGCTTTGCAATTATCTCAATAGAGCATGAGCTGGCCCAGACTGTGGACCTTCAGGAGGAAGCAGTTCAAATCTTTGCAACCAAGAAGGCACGGAAAGCACCACTTTGATTATTCAAACAGATAAAAATGCCAGTGTTTACTATGCAGACAAGAAAAGTTACATTTGCTGTTCAGACATTTGAAAGTTAACTGTAACTTAAAATTTTTGAATGAGGCATTTTAAGTTGTTAATTCTCCTTTATTGGGGTAGGTAGCAGAGCAGTACCATGAGGGAGTAGAACAGGAAGTAGGCAGAATTGAGACCTTTCAAAGTTTTGGCCAAACAAGGGGGCATGGGGGCGTCATTTGAGCTCCCTGCGTCAGGTGCCAAAATGTTTTGGGCCGGCCCTGGGGTGGGATGGTGGGCGGGATGTGCACAGTGCATGGGATGGAGATAACGGGGAGGGGTGTGGGGCATGTGCAGTGCATGAGCAACCATGGCAGGGTGTGCACATTGCATGAGGCAGGGGCAGCCATGGGGGTGTGTGTGTGTGCTCAGTGCTTGGGGTAGGGGCAGTGCATTGAGCTGAGGGGCGGGGATGGGATGACTGGAGGGAGGCAGCTAGAGCTAAGCCGGACTTGGCCAGGCATCCTTGCATTGTCCACACTAAATCAACAAAAGTGTCCCTCTCTCTGTGTAGCGGAGGCAGCTAGTAGTGTGGCATGGATGCGAGTGCCACTGCAGTGAGACTCCTCAACTTAGAGGGCCTCACATTTTCAACTGCGAAGGATTGTTGTGGCCTTCCTTTGAACAGCTCTCACCAGAGTCAGAGTCAGCCCATTGGGAGCCCTGAGCAGGAATATTTTTGGTGACCGGCCCCTTACCCCTCACCTACCCCCTAAAAATACCTGTTGCATTATTTCCACAAACCAAAGGAAGGTTTCAGAGTAACAGCCGTGTTAGTCTGTATTCTCAAAAAGAAAAGGAGGACTTGTGGCACCTTAGAGACTAACCAATTTATTTGAGCATAAGATTTTGTGAGATGAAGTGAGCTGTACCTCACGAAAGCTTATGCTCAAATAAATTGGTTAGTCTCTAAGGTGCCACAACTACTCCTTTTCTTTTTGAAAACCAAAGGAAAAACCCCAACCCAACGCATACTGATACACTTCTTTAAAAGTCCACCTTAAATTAACAGTATTTTGTTGCAATACTAAATCAGGGTCCCTTTGAGCTTTTTGGGTACTTAATCAATTGCTTTGCCTGCTTATGCCTAGTGCTGGCTCTCACATCTCTGTTTGCAGCCAACCTTTGCCATAGGGCAGGGTGAGTTCCCTTTAGATGTGCCTTTTCTTTGTCCTATGGAATAATTCCATTCAGATTTGGCTGTGATAAGTCACCATTTCCTCTCCTCTTTTGTGTTCCTCAGGGCAGTTTTGGCAGTCTGATACATAGGTGCTGGAACTATGAGTGCTGGGGGTGCTCCCACATCCCCTGTCTTGAAATGGTTTCCATTATATACAGGGTTTACAGTTTGGTTCAATGACTCTCTGCACCCCCACAATAAAAATTGTTCCAGCACTGCTGTTCTGATGAAATCACTGACTGTTTCTAGACTGGGCTGAGGGCTCATGCCACTACCAAAGCAGCAGCAGCAGATGCTGCTTTGGGGTCACAGGGAGCTACCAAAGAAGCTGTAGCACACCTAGTAATGGCATCAGTGGTCCAGTTTCCCTCTCCCTCCAGTCTCCAGGGTGGCGGCAGCTCCCCCAAATTCCCTGGGTGTATGGGGAAGGGAAGAGAGAGCAAATCACATCAGGGTGAGCTTCTTGCAACCATTTCCCAGACCTAGCTGCAGCCCATTCCACCTCCGCACCCCAAAAACAGCCTTCTCCTGCTGACTACTAATGTTATTAGTCCTGTAGTTCAAGTAGTTCAGTAGTAACAATCTGTCCTGCAGTGCTGAAGGTCCAGGCTTCAGATGTCAGCATGCCTAGTTCTATCTTGTAAAAATTAACTTCAGGTATACTTTTATTCATTATTATTGAAATGAAATGTGCTTACTACTTCTAATTTTTCCCCTAATAAATATTTAATGTGAAGTAATAAACGCTAGAAAGGTTGTTAGTCTTTCTTAATAATAAATTGCATTTTTGATGATACGTACAATAATTGATTCTTAAAATACTTTGTCGTAAAGGCCTACTAGAAAA